TTTTTTGAAACACTCCAAGAAGTACTTTAAACCATGCTTCTTCAACCAAGAGTTCATCTAGTTTCAAAAAAAACCCCTATCTCTCACCTGTATACATAACATATCATAGCATTATAAATCATGAAGATTTATGAACGTGAATAAAAACTTTATTTTTCTAACTTGTATGTAGCACTAAAAACAAAATTTGTGTTTATGTTAAGCCTATATTAATAGATAGCTCTATAAAATTTATTTTTATGAACAAAAGAATATGAAAAGAAAGATGGGGCTCATTCGTAAATTGAACATACATTGCTATCACTTGGACCTAGAAGCTACATGACATTTCAATTCTACATTACCCTTGAAAAGATCTGCTATTTGGTCTTTCAACACCAAACTTTCTTGTAACATAAACAAACCACATCAAAACTAATTAAGATATTTGCAAACAATAATGCCAGTGGTACTTATCTTTTTTGTAAGTTGGTCTACAACAACATTGCGTGATCTGTTCCAAAAGAAGTTCAAATAATGAAAAGACAACGAATTTGGAACTCTCAAAAAATTAAAACTAAAATAAACCGACATGCATGTTGAACAAGGATCTTCCATTTGAGTGTGAAACAACATATCAACACTTGTATCCTTGTAGTACTTCTGTATATCAATCTATATTAGTGAAAGCCATGCCAAAAGCAAGTATTTAGCTGTATTCAAATAATGAAAAGGCAACGATTCTTAAACCTTCTAACAAAAAAAAAAGTGAAATACATAGTAGCAAATGATTTGATTTTGATGATAGTCAAGAAGGATACGGTTGTAGCTGTTGTCGTCTGTAGAATTGACATGTTTCAAGTTATGTCCTGTTAAAGCTCACAATATATTTACCTCTCTTCTCACATCTTCAATGGCTATGGCTGTTATCATAAATAGAATTGACATGTTTCAAGTTAGATTAGTTCTGTTGACCCTAGAAAGAAGTTGATTAAGTTGATTACCAAAAACAGAGATCTTATTTGTTAGTTGAAGTAAATTTATACATGTAGCTTGTACTTCTAATCTATTAAAGACAAAACTGAGCTTCAATTGTGAGAGAAAACTAACCTTGAAACATGAGACAAAACTAATCTTGAAATATGAGGTGTAGGTTGTACTTTGTATATGTATTTTATCATCTGAGATTAGGAACACCTGATTGGAGAAGAAACAGCAAGAAGATGGATGTGAGTTACCCAAAATCGGTAAAACCTAACATCAAAATAAATGCAATGAAACAAATTCTAAACAAAAATTGAATAAGAATAGTAGCAAACAAACTCATCTGAAACGGATTAGGTGTTTATAACAAAAGCACTAACAAAACATAGTAAAACACCTGAAAATAAAAAACACCAAGTAGATTGTACCTGAATCAATTGTTCGTCTCTTTTTGCTTATATAAACCCCTAAGTATATTGTTAGGTCAACACGCTATTAGCAAAACGTGAACATACTACACCTCCTGATGGGTTATCGTCTCCGAAACACCCTAAAATCGGAAACAATAGATGCTTTGCCTTATGAAGTGCTACCTTGCGAGCCTTCCTCATCCATTAATCACTCCAAACCTCCACACAAAGGCCCTTTGAAGATGGTCGATGAGCTAATTGGAAAACGAAGGCAGCGACTCGGTGATGTACTCTCAAAAGAAGAAAGACGCAAGACGGTCTTAGAGGGCTAGAGAGAGGTGGGATAGATTAAAAGTGGCAATACCTGGGTTATATTGATTGCAACTCATAAGAACCCTAGGACGAACAACGTTCATGGATGATGCAAAATCGGGGAAGAAGACGGCTCGGAAGAGACGAAAGGCGGTGAGAACTGGGAAGTATTCGGAAGTTCGATATGCGCTAGAATCGGAAGATATTGGATAAGGAGGAGGTGGGGGGGGAGACGTGGGAATGACACGTGTCAGTCCCATCCTTATCTTTACACTAATGTTAATAATTTAAGGCACCAAATTATCAATACCATAAACTTTAGTGCCAAAAATCTGAACCACTAAAAATATGAAAACTTATGGGCTATTTTTACCAATAAATCAGGATGTTCACTATTCATAAAGATGATCTTAATATATATATATATATATATATATATATATATATATATATATGGTGAGGTTCAATAGAGAACCATAATTAACCAAGGAACCAATCTTTTTTTTCAACTTTTAGAACTTATTTTTTCTCAAAAAAAAAAAAAAAAAAAAAAAAAAAAAAAAAAAAAACTAAAAAACTAAAAATACAGAAATTCATAACTTTTTATCCTTTTTCCAATGATATCAAATTTGAGTTGTTTTACATCATATTCACAATGTGAATTTTTGAAAATTCACAATGTGAATTTTTGAAAATTCACAACGTGAATCCGGATTCACACAATAAATCCGAAAAATATTTTTCACATTCACAATGTTAATATATGAATTTAGATATTTTTAGATTTTTTTTTCGATAAAGAATAAACTCTAGAAATTGAAAAAAAGATTTTGTTCCTTAAAAAACTAACAATTATGGTTATATATTGAACTTTTATATATATATATATATATATATATATATATATATATATATATATATATATATATATATATATATATATATATATATATATATATATATATATATATATGTATACAAGAGGGTTCAATTGAGAAAAAAAAAGTTGAGAATGGGAGAATCATTCTCAGCCACTCATTTATTTTTGCCGCAAAAACCTCTGTCGTACCAGCAGAAATGGGAAAGGAATAGACATGTGTTTTCGAATAAAACATGTTTCCTTAAACTATGCTAATCATTACCTTAATCTATACAAAAACATAGTTTTTCGATTTTTTTAATTTTTAAGAAGCTATTTTTATCGAAAAATGATTTTAAATATACCAAAATTCATGATTTTTTTATTCTCTACAAATAGACATCCATATTGATATAGTTTTAAGATAAAATAATTTTTTTTTATATTTTAAGTTATCGTTATTCATAAGTGAATAAAAATGAATCAGATTTTACTACAGTACATTCGTTATTCAGTTATGAATAAAAACTATGATTTTTTTTTTATAGTTTAAGTATCATTCATATATGAATATAGCATATAATAAACATAGTATATTCATATTTAAATATTAGATGATGCATTCACTTATGAATATTAGATAGTATATTCACTTGTGAATATTAGATGATATATTCACTTATGAATATTAGATAATATTTTCATATCTGAATACTACATAGTGTTACATGGTATATCATATGTAAATATTACATAGTATATTCATTTGTGAATATTAGATGATATATTCACTTATGAATATTACACACTATATTCACATATGAATATTACACAGTATATTCACATATGAATATTACAAGGTATTTTCACAAATATATATAATTTTTATATGTTATTCACATATGAATAACATACAGACTTGCATATTTGGTTTTTTGTTTTAATAATCATATACTGAGAAAACATATTCATATATGAATATAACGTGTTAATTTAGTTCATGCATTTCACCAAACAGTTGGAGTGCATACAATTTAACTTTTTTTAAAAATGTTAGAAACATGATATTTTGACTATTTAAATCTACAAAAGAGTAGATTGATAGAGAATTATATGAAATTTTTCAAAAAAAAAAACGATTCGATATTTTTATAACCTCAATTTTCAAGTTTTATTTGATAATCGATGTTGAATGAATGATATGAAGTCGATTTTGTTGATTATCGATGATGTTGATCTAATAACGCTGGGAGTATAATTAATCATAGATGTTGAAGATCTGATCGTATTCAAGCACAGTTGAAGGTTGAATTAAAAGAACCAAAAACGAATTTTTGTTGTTAACTGTTGAATCGTGTTGATTATTGACGAAGATCGATGATTGATTTGCACTGGATGATGTTGATTATGGTTTAATTGAAGAAATCTGGATGATTGTTGAAAGTTGGAGAAGAAATTTGGATGATGAACGATGAATGGGTTTAAACTACAGATATGTATTTGAGATTGAAGGTTGTTTTCATATTTACAAGTTTGCCACCGTGTCTTTTTATACTTGAATAAAATGAGTGGCTAAGAATGATTCCCCAATTCTCAACCTTTTTTATTTTCTCAATTGAACCCACCTCTCTCTCTCTCTCTCTCTCTCTCTCTCTCTCTATATATATATATATATATATATATATATATATATATATATATATATATATATATATATATATATATATATATATATATATATATATATATATATATACCCAATATCTAGTGGTTAATATGAAAGCCTGGATAATATTAACATGTTTCCCTCATTTATGTCCATAAATGGTAAACAACGTTTGTATTCATTAATTTGATTAAACAGATAATTTATTCAAATTATCTTTTTTTAATAACTAAACTAGATTATAACCCGTGTTAAACGCGGGGGAATGTATTAAAAAAATTACAAAAATATTTATATATATTGCATAATAATAATAAAAGAAAGTTTATGGCTATTGTTATTATTGAAAGGTGAAGAATAAACACTGAAATTGATAAATAAGTATAACCGTTGCAGGACCTCTTTGTAGACAATGCTTTTTGTTTTATTAGTTGAACGACCTTCGTCGTCATATATGAGTACCTTTAAACCTTTTTTGCTTGTTACATGAGAAACAACTACATATAACTAACCATGGGTAAAGACAGGTCTACGCAAGTATAATCCAACATTTGATAATGGTTGTCATTGACTTTTGTTAATGGTCCTAGCCAAACAAATTGCTATTAGGAATTACCTACGTTGAAAACAGGATGGAATTTTTTTAACGGATGGGGTGAACTTCATGCGAGTTATATAAGTACTCTCGTTGAAAAATCTACCAGATATGATTCGTGCTTCAATGACGTGTCTTCCAAGCCTTACGATTTGTAATCTAGTACCATTGCATAGTCCTTTGGTTTGGTCGATATTACGAAGCAACATGATCGGAAAACCTTTTTTTTAGTAAAAGTTTATGGTTAGGAATTCCGGAGGCCTTAAAAGCGTTCAACACATCCGGAGAGTATACTGATTCCTCAAAAGAATCTTCTGTCTTGGTCTCACATAAGGAATCTAAACTCAGATATGTTTTCCCTTCATCTTTCATCAATTCTAACATATAGTCGTTGATAGCATCAACTTCTTCATTAGTAGAGACCAAAATAGCTTTATCTTGAAAATACGATGGATCATCAAGATTGTTCTTAAAAGATGAATAAATGCAGGATACAATTAAATGAATATGGTCACCCGTAGAAGGAACGGTCACATCTTCTGGAAATTCAACTTCAACTTCACCATCATTAGGACCACCGATAGTACCTTCACCAATTTTAAGAATCCAATTAGCAAATGATTTTGTCTCTTCGAAATCATTTTTTGGACAACCAAACTGAAGCCTCATGTTTACAGTCAAACGCAAAATTGTACATTCACGCCATAATCTTAATGAATGCAACGATGTCTGCACAATATCTGAACGATTTCCTCTTTGTATTACTGGAATAATTTGTTGAAAGTCACCTCCAAATACAATGGTCTTGCCTCCAAATGGTATATTATTGTTCTTAGGAAGGATAATATCTCTAAGTGTCCTATCAACTGCTTCAAAACAATGACGATTCATCATTGGGGCTTCGTCCCAAATTATAAGGCTTGCTTTGTTCAACAGGGCAGCTACATCGTTACCTGGCATAATAGAACAAAATGATTTCTTATTCAAGTTAATTGGTATACGAATTCTTGAATGCGCTGGCCTACCACCAGAAAGAAAAATCGTCAATGATAAATATCAAATAATCATAACTGCTAAATTTATTCGAGTTTTTCTATTTTTGAATCTTAAGGGTATGAGGAGCAACATCATCTTTTGAGGAAGACCATTCAAACGATTCAGTGGTGGTAACAATCTCAATAGATCGTTTCAATGAAGTAGTTGTCGGTGTCACCGCATCATGATAAACAACATTAATATTGTCACATTCAACAGAAACACTCTTTTCCTGTATCAAATTAATAAAACAATGTTAATTAACAACATTAATATTGTCACCGCATCAAAAATGAATGTTTATTAACAATGTTAAAATGGTAAATTATATGAATTTAATTTTATCTTAATAGACTTGTTGATAGGAGTACCATCAGAATGAATACTGTTTTCTTCGTATGCAAGTGAATGTTTAAAAGCTGCACGAACTACAAGTTCATCATCAGGCATCTTATGAACGATGTAGGCGTGATAATTGTTCTCGAGATTAAACTTTGAAATCTAAACTTTAAAAACAAACTTCCTATTAAGCATCGTATTGAACTCATCGGGGATCTTTTGGCGTCCTTAATCCTAAAGAATATTATAATAAAACATGTGAATAGTTAATAAATCCCGATTAAAATAAAATGCAATAACAGTATACAGTTAACTTGTCGTGTGTAAAAACTAATAGAATAGTATAATATAAGGCTACCTTTGATATCTTTTCCATCAACCAATGATTACCGTGGTGAATAAGATCTTTAACATGACGGTCAAACAATACAAAAAAAGAAGACCCGGTTTCATCTTAAACACGTATTACAACCCTTACCCTAAATATTATTGTATGACACGTTAATGGACAATGAAATAAAAATTTAAACATTGTAATAAAGATTTATGAGAAGAGAAGTTTACAAATGTAAAATTATGAACTTGTTTGTCGAATACATCAAAAACTCCTCCGCAACCATTACAATTAAATTGTCCGCCATCACTATCATCACCATTTTTAGTTAAATTTTTTGAATAGTCACGACAATAAAAAGAATATCATCCTTCCTCCAAATCGAAACCGATTATAGTAGCAATGATAGACAAACCAATTTCCTGATTGGTAAAAATACATACACACACACACACATATATATATATATACATATATATATATATACACACACACACACACATTAAAAAAAATTGTTATATATAATGGAAAAATATGAATAATATTAGGTATACCTCATTGTAATCTGGAAATATCATCAATGTTTTTAATTTGAAAACGGAGGTAGTAATCTTCTGGCTTGGCCACAATAGTTTTTGTGTTAAGTTGTGTAGTATTAATGGAGGACTCAACATTCAAATCGATATCAACAATGCTACATATAAGAAGGAAAAATGAAGGAGATCAACAATAATAATTATTAATGATTAAGAATAAGTAAAAATAAAATAGTAAATAATTATATCATAGTCATCAAATACATACATCTTTTTAGATTCTGAAATATTATGCATATCATCATTAATATGTAATCTCAACCCAAATAAACAGTTATCGACTTATGGCTGACCTATAAATAACAATTGAAGTAATACAATATTTCTTATTATAAATAAAATATTACTGTAATGAGCATAGACATTTAAAAATAATTATTCTCACCACCCCAAGTCTTGAGATTTGCCATACGTAAGAGGATGATCACAGGATCATTTTCATTTTGATGTTCAGATGTGTAACTGTTCAACATCAATGCAAAATCATCACACAAAGTAATTTGCATTTTCCTACCACTATAATTGATTGTTTAAGTTATATGTATAAAATATTAAGCATGATAAATTAATGAAAAATAAAGAAAAGTACCTTAGATCTTGTGCAACAATACTCATTAGCCTTGTTTCCCTTGCATTCTCTTTAATCACTCCCACGGGTTCAGTAGATACAACTTGACTAAAAAAATTTACAAAAAGTAAATTTGAATCAATTATTATAATATAAATTGGTTAAAAAAATATATAATATAATAAATGCAAAATTGTTAAGGGAAAAAAAGCTCACAAAATGCAACACGAGTGTCAAAATTTCTGGCTGTTAGATCATGAAAACTCACAAAATTAAAAGGATCGATCCTATCAACAAAAGGAGTTGATATACGAATTGTGGTTGTTTTGTAGAAATTTATCTTATGCTTGTGAGCAACCAACATGTAATCTCCTTCGTTTCTTGTCATACCAAAGTTAGTGATTTGCCTTATAACTCCTTCTTCTAGGAGGGCTTGAAATGCATATATGAGATTTTTTTGATTGTTGCATGTACTCTAGTGCCCTGTAGGTGATAAATAATATTATTATATGAAACAAAAATAAAACGTAAGTTTTTTTCATATTATTTTAATTTTATCTCCTGGTCCATTAAAATCATGTCTAAGCTGTTGACCATGTTTGAGTTGTTTTTGTATGTCTGTTTCCAAATTATGACAACTTGAACACGAATAGTCCATGATTCTTTGGAGGTATTTATGTCAGCCAACTTATCAATGACGATTTCACTGTTACTGTTATGTGTCATTTCGCTTGTGCTATAAGAAATAGAAAAAGTATTAGAGATAATTATGAGATATAGTGAAAAATGTAATTCAAAGACTCACAAGGTTTTTGTTTAATGTAAATATGATGTTGTTCAATTAACATAGACATTTTTTGTTGGCATACTTAATCATGAAAAAAAAACAAAAATAAACATTAATTGTATTTTGCAGAATAATAGTTTGTTGCAATTATGGATTAATGGAAGTAGGATGGTATCAAATCAAAACATACATAATATGTTGATATATTTCACAGAAAACAACAAAGCAAAAAATAATGAATATAAACACTTATCATATAGAAGGCTGTAGAAAGGAAGAAGTATTGATAAATAATGAAATGCGTACCTTTTTGCCTTTGATTAACCAAGATTACAATTGTTTACTGCTATAGAAGGCTGTAGAAAGGAAGAAGTGTTGATTTAGTATCGTGAATATCAATATAAACGAAGATGTAAAAACATAGATAAAACACAATAAAACCCAACTTTTGCAGGAGCGTGGAAGGAAAAATAAAAATGGGTTTTTGTGGAATATGTCATATATATGTATTGAATCCAAGTTGGTTTTGGAGGGATAAGATAAAAGTTATTTTTATCTTATCCCTTAAATGTTGAATTTCAAAATGTAATTAGGATAGATAATATAGATCATTTTAGGATTATTTTTTAAAATTTACAATTTGGATAATGTTGATGGTTAGTTAAGAACCCGTCTTTGGTGGCTGATTTTTCGATTTGAATACGAGAAGTAGTTATGATAGACAGAATTAAATAGTGAATTGTTATGTTAGGATGACATCACGAAAAATATTAAGAACGATCTAAGGGTTGAATTCAATCAAAGAAATCCAAGGGCTTAAAATGCATATACGATTTTTTTTATTGTTGCATGTATTCTAGTGCCCTGTAGGTGATAAATAATATTATTATATGAAACAAAAATAAAACATAAGTTTTTTTCATATTATTTTAGTCTTACCTCCTGATCCACTAAAATCATGTCCAAGTTGTTGACCATGTTTGGATTGTTTTTGTATGTCTGTTTCCAAATCATGACAACTTGAACACGAATATTCAATGATTCTTTGGAGGCATCTATGTCAGCCAGCTTATCAATAACGATTTTGCTGTCACTATTATGCATCACTTCGTTTGTGCTATGAGAAATAGAAGATTATTAGAGATAATTATGAGATATAGTGAAAAAAGTAATTTAAAGATTCACAAGGTTTTTGTTTAATGTAAATATGATGTTGTTCAATTAACATAAACATTCTTGGTTGGCATACTTAACCATGAAAAAAAACAAAAATAAACATTAATTGTATTTTACAAAATAATAGTTGGCTGCAATTATTGATTAATGGAAGTAGGGTGGTATCAAATCAAAACATACATAGTCTGTTGATATATTTTACTGAAAACAACAAAGCAAAAATAAAATAAAATAAGTATGAACACTTATCATATAGAAGGCTGTAGAAAGAAAGAAGTATTGATAAACAATGAAATGCATACCTTTTTGCATTTGATTAACCAAGCTAACAATTGTTTACTGCTATAGAAGGCTGTAGAAAGGAAGAAGTATTGATTTAATATCGTGAATATCAATATAAACGAAGATGTAAAAACATAGATAAAACACAATAAAACCCACCTTTTGCAGGAGCGTGGAAGCAAAAATAAAAATGGGTTTTGGCGGAATATGATAAAATTTATTTTTATCTTATCTCTTAAATGTTGAATTTCAAAATGTAGTTAGGATAGATAATGTAGAAAAATTTTTGATTATTTTTTTAAATTTAAAATTTGGATAATGTTTATGGTTAGGTAAGTTTCCGATTTTGGTGGCTGATTTTTCGATTTGAATATGAAAAGTAGTTATGATAGACGGAAATAAATAGTGAATTGTTTTGTTAGAATGATATCTTCAGAAATATTAAGAACTATCTAAGAGTTCAAATAAATCAAAGAAATTTAATATAGGAATGATTCTGATTGTTGAAATACATCAATTTGTGTTTTAATATATATAAATATGAACTTGAGACTGTTTCAACGTTAGTCCACTACCAACCTAATCTTGGCTGTGTTAAACTTAAGCACTTAAACGATAAACGAACAAAGCCGAAGATCTACAATTCCTTATCCTCTCTCTCTCAATAAATCTTTGTTTTTGTTGTCAACTTCGCCCCTTTCCCAAGAAATTTAATCAAACGTCCCATCAGTGGCGTAAGTGCTGCCATCACCCTTTATTTCTTTTAAATCCCGACTTTTAGGAACCATTTATGTGATCTTGAGAAGGTCGTCGTCAAGTCGTCAAGTTCAGAGGTTTTCATCAAATATTTTCTGGGTACGAATTTCTTTTCGACTTTTTTACGATGATTTTCTGCACAGTTTTGCTAATTTTAAGGGTTATCTCATCCAAAATATACGAGGGTATTCTTGCTTAATTTTCTGATCATGGGAACTATGTAAAACGGAGTCTACTATCGACTGTTACTTTGTAGAATCCGAACCACTACTGCTTCTCAAATTGAGATCTTGGATGTTTTCAGAATGAAACTAATTACTGTCTCATGAATTCGTAGATAGTCTTTCTATTTGGGTTTCTTGAGGAAAACGAAAAGGAGCATGGACCCAATATTTAAAGTTTTATAAGCTGTTCAAATCTTTCTTGTTCAGAGTTTTAAATCTTGCTTCGTTAACTTCAATAGCTGATAAAATGCTCCAGTTTTGAATCTTGAAACATTATTTTCGCCAATCGTAAACAATAAAATAAAGTCAACTTATTGACTCATGAAACATTATCTTCGCCCGATTTGAATATTGATTCATGTACTATTTCTAACTTCTAGCTAATCCGTGGGTGGTTATATATCGTTCTTTCTTGCTGTAAAATAAAACGATTATTAGTTCATGAAAACATACGGAAGTCCTGACACGGAAAACCAAAGAAATACTATTAAAAACCTTACTTTAAAGTATCAAGAAACCTAATTTGATGTAATGTGATTTTATTATGTAGCCTTCGCCGATATCTTTTCTTTTTTTCAGAACAATGTCACGTGGTACCCAAGATCTTGTGTTCTTGTTAGCTATAGCGTTATTGGCAATATGTTCTCAAAATTCGCAAGCTCATGTAACACTTGAAAACGGGGTGAAATCAAAGGTGTATTTATCACCTAAGATAACTCAACATCCGGGATCCGTTTCAAACAAATTCTACTACGATATCGAGTTCCCAAAAGGTCATATTGCTATAAAGAGCTTCAATGCCGAAGTTGTTGATGAAGAAGGGAATCCTGTTTCTCTTCAAGAAACTTATCTCCACCATTGGGTTGCCGAAAGATACTACCAACGTAAAGGTATTAAAAGTCCGAAGTATAACAGTAATAACGGATCCCACCAATCAGATTTCCTTGTCGCTGGGAACGCTGGGGTATGCAATATTGAAAGCGGTCTTTCCCAATTTTTCGGATTGGGATCTGAAACACGAAAAACATCCACACATATTCCTGATCCTTATGGAATCGAAGTGGGTAATCCGCTTGAAGTTCCTGCTGGATATGAAGAGAAATGGGTGCTTAATGTCCATGCAATCGACACTCGAGGTGTCGTAGATGCAATCGGATGTACTGAATGCAGGTATAAATATCAACGTAACTGAAACTTTAAAGCATTTAGCTTTTGAGATTGAATTATCTCAAAATGTAGTTAGATTTATGGATTTTCTTATATGATGAAGATGTAACTTGTACAATGTGACGAAAGATGAATATGGTCAGCCTTTGGATCCAAATTATTTGGGAGGCTTATACTGTTGCTATGATGAAACGCAATGCAAACTGAAAAACGGGGTTGAAAGTGTGAAGAGAAACCTTTACATGAAGTACACTGTTGAGTGGGTTGATTGGAGTGACTCCATAATACCTGTTAAAATCTATATATTTGACGTCACTGATACTTGGCAGAATACAGGAATCCATGATTGCTCGGTAACTTACCTCATCAGTTCATCTTCACACATAAATTTTATCAAAATTCGATACCTTTTTAGGTAAATTTTGAACCTTTTTGTTATATTACAGATTGAGTTTGATGTTGAACATAGTATAGCAAACGACTACACCAGTACCAGAAGATCAAATGCAAGTTTCCCAATTTCTGGTGATGTCGTGTATGGCGTTGCACATCTACACAGTGGTGGAATAGGTTCTGCTTTATATGGAGAGGTGAATATTTCAATTTTTTTTTAAATGGGTCGTGTTTCTTGTAATCTGGATTGATGTCTAAAGTATCAAGCTATGAACTTTATTCAGGATGGACGAGTTATTTGTTCGTCTAGAGCTATTTATGGGGAAGGAAACGAGGCAGGAGATGAAGCTGGTTATATTGTAGGGATGACCACATGTTACCCTAATCCAGGGTCTATAAAGATAGCTAAAGGTGAAGTTTTGACTTTGGAGTCTAATTACAGCAGTCAAAAGAACCATGTAGGAGTTATGGGGCTCTTCTATATTCTTGTTGCAGATTCTTCTTCTACTTTGGATGCTTCGGTTCAAGTAAGATTTCTACCCTTTATTCATTAGCGATTTTGCAAAGGAATGTTGTTTAATTTGTGAGGTTGATAGTAGAAAAATAAATAATTTTAACATGAAAGTAAATATATATTGTAATTTAGATGGAACGGAGGACGTATACAACTTTAGCTTTAATTACAAATATTACATTCTAGTATTAAGTTTGACACTAGCATGTTTTAATTTACATGTGAAAACATTTTTTGCATAAGATTATTGGATATTTGTAAAAGCTAAATGCTTCGTTTGGAAACCGGTTTTAGTCGCATCAATTTTTTTTTTTACCTTCCATGTAGTCGGTATAGCACGTAAATACCTTACATATTGTCACCGATTGCATATATAGTTCTTCAAAGTATCATGACATAAATTTGAAAACATACCTAGTAATTAATGGAGATCACATATAGCATTCTGAGAGATTATTAGAATATCTAGAAGTCTTCGCATGAAATGGATCATCGATGCAAATATTAAAAAGCCAGTTACACTTATACGATCATGTTCTTTAGCCTACAAAAGCATTAATGTTTTTGGCCGTTTGCAACACTTTTCTTATGTTTTATGCATATGACGATATGTTTTTTTTAGTTGGAGCATTTAGAGTAAACTTTCTTGGGTGTGGTTTGCAGATTCATCAAGGATCAAAAGTACCGATCTTCTTTTGGGGTGTAGCTATGTTCGGATTGGCAATTTTTGCAGCTGTTGTAGTTGCTTATAAGCGACGTAGGCAAAGTAAGGATGGGTACCAGTTTATTGCAACTTAAGCAACCTTTCTACCATATGTGACAATTAGATGCTATGTGACATGAATCGTGTGGTAAAACTATACATTTTACAGACCTTAATATGTGAAAAATATAAGGATATGTTGCTATAATAAAACTTAGTTAAGATTTGTCACTGTATGCTCACGTTTAGAAGCAGGAATGTTTTTGTAATATATACGGTTGGCATGCATGTCAAGTATCACACATAAAAGAGACAATATAATGTATAATAAAATATGGTTTGTTGCATGTGGTGGACTATATAGTTTACCACATGTTTGTTTATCTGATTAAGTGTACGTATTTTTGGTTGATGTTCTTTTAGAGAAGATACTTATAAAGTCAAAGGTTTATGGGATTACGTTATAAGTTAATTTTCAAATGAGACACAAGGTCCAAATAAATCATTATATAAGCTTAAAAGTTAAAACATATGTTTCTAAATACCAAATCAGATAGACCAATAAGGTTGATGTTGCTTTTTTTTTAAAAAAAATAGATATCTTAACCGGCACATAATAATTAAAAACTAGAAAGGGACCCGGGCTTCGCCCCGGGTTGGATTTTTGACGACGTTACGATGAATCTTTCACTTTAACAGCATTTGTTTAGATTATTTGTTCGATTTCATTAAAAGCCTAATATATAATGATTTCTAGTACATGCATACATTTGGACGTGGTCAGTAACTTCTTTCATAAGGTTCTCCGTTATCAGTGTTATGCTTTAGAAGATGAAGCTATGTGTTTGAAAGAAACTCTGAATTTAATCATCTAAAAAAAGATCCATCACATCATATATGTTGCCCAAAGTAAATAATATTACCTTACATAAATTATGGATCAACAACTTTACACGCTATTGCATAACGCTTATTTAAATGAATATGCCCCATACCTCTTCTTACAACAAACAAAAACTTACACAACAAAGAAGCTTAACAAATAATTTCAACTACAAAGAACACAAGTCAATATAAGAACGTCACCTACCTCAGTACATTTCACAAACACAATGAAAAAAACAATATGTCGTTCTGTTTTAATTGGTGGGTATGGTGGTCATGTGTTCGAGAGGGTTTTTTATATTTTCATTAAGGTTTGTATGATTAAATTCAGGGTTTTTTTACTTAATAATTTATAAGCTATGTAACAAAAGCCTATATTTGTCATGGTTTTATATGATAGTTGGATTGCACACACGCAATAGTAGTAATTACGATACTTATACATATAACATATTATAGTTATATCAAAAGGACATTGTCTTTGCTAAGATGCAGTTGATGTTCTTGGAGCGAGCGATGGTGTCATTACACTCGATAAGACACACGTTTTGGTGTTATTTGTGCTTCGTCTTCATCTCAAATATAGTATGCAGATGTTAGATGTGTCAATTAGGTAGATGTGATGAAAGTGTTGTTTTCTACCTGTTGGTTCAAACAATAAAACCCTTTTAGCCTCTGGGGAGTGAGGTTTGGAGGATGATATAGCTGGTGTTTCATTTGTGGGAAAAATGATGTAACATTTAGGTTTGGTGTTGAAGGTATTGTTGAATGTGAGAGGATATTGTAAGACTGAATGTCAATAATTGTTACATGTACTTTGTTCGTGGTCGAATTTTTTGTCATTCGAATGACTATCTTCTTTTCCTGACCTTTGGCTTTGTTTAGTGTTGGTTTGTGAAAATACCCGTTAGGGTTTCCAATGCATTTCATACGTATAAATAATATGCTAGTATATTATATTACAATGAGGACCCTATACTATCAATATATGTGACAATAGTCAAATTCGGGTCAAGTTAAAATCAAACAAAGTCAATAAGTTAAACCTGACGACTCAATTTAACTCTTACGTATTAGGGTTTACGTGGTGTATTTACTAAACAATTCGCTATTTTAATGAGAAAGCATCATTTGAAAAATCCATGTGATTGAATTCTTCCTAAGCCTTAAATGCGGTAAACAATGAACCAAAGCGATAAACCACAAATACACACTCATCGGGAGTGTGTAAGACACTAAAACATGGCTTAATGAGGTTCATGGACCTTGCGTTGCGGAGCCAAACACTCACAATTGTCACACATGAAACCTCTCTTAATCGTTTTCACTCTATCTCTCTCTATTGTCAAATCTCTCCCAAACCTCTCTAAGTATGCCAAATCTCTCCCAAATATCTCTCTGTATGAGAAATCTTTCAAAGAATGTCAAATCTCTCCCAAATATCTCTTTGTATGAGAAATCTCTCCAAGAATATCAAATCTCTCCTAAATCTCTCCAAGTATGGGAAATCTCTCCCAAATCTCTCTCAAAAGTTCCCGTAACTTTTCATAGCCTTTCGGGCCATCCTGACTCTTAACCGGGTCAAAAACGTCTTGAAACGAGGTAAAAACGCGAAAAACAGACTTAAGGAGCCGAAACTCCTCTCAGAAACCGAAACCTCTCACGGAACCGAAACCTCTAAAGGAGCCGAAACCGAGACCTGGAAGCTGAAACCCCTGGGGACCGAGCCTCGCCTCTTCTTCCTTCCCACCTTCGCACTTTCGGTCCTCCATCGCAACCGAGCCTCGCCTTCTGTCCTTCTTCTCGCACTCTCTGTCCCTTCCCCTCCTCTCGGTCCTTCTCTGCTACTTTCGGTTCCAACGACCAGAAGACCGAACCTCCGGCCAGACTTTGGATTTTTGACATTTTTCACCCATTTTCAATATTTTTCACATTTTGAGCCCGTTTTTCGTGATTTTAACGCGGGATTTTCACCCACACTCGTATTTTAACATAATAAACCCTAAATTTTCATAATTTAATCATGTTTTCATGAAAATCTTTATTTAAAGAATAAAATTTAGTAGGTGAAGTACAAGGGGGTAGAGTGTTGACTTATCTTTAACTTATGACACAAGCAACCCCTCACACCCACTCCATGACCAGCCATACTCCTCCTACCATACCCACGTCTTGTCAATGTACTTTTTCATCATTTCTAACCTTTTTCCACACTATTAGAGCTGGAACAACATTTCACACTCCTCATTTTGCTCCTTTCTCTTACCTTACCCAAAAGATCACACAGCTTTCTCTCACTATTTCTCTCTAAAAATTCAAGACTCAAGGCTGATATTCAAGCTTTATCCTTCCCTTGGTAAGTATAATTCATCCTCCTTGTGATTATTACACTTCATTCTACTCCAATCACCGATTGTTTACACAAAATCCATCACATTAATGATAGATCTTCGAACCTTCAAGACATCCTCTTAGTGTTCTTGAGTGGAATACTACATATCTCTATCATCCATCTTCAGAAATCACTCAAGGTGAGTTCACACCCCTACATTTTCATATTTTCTTATGTTTTAAGGGGGAGAATACAAGTCAAATCATCAAGAACACAACTAAATATTTCTAACAGCTTACATCAGAAAAGTTGGACTCCATTCACAGACTGTTTTGGGCAACTAAAACATTTTTGTTTTCAAAACTAGATAAGGTGCAAGTAGTTCAAGTTCTTATCTTTAAAATGACTACTTGCAGATCTCCATACGATTTTTATACTATTTATGGGGATTTTTGCAAAACTGCCTATCACTTCAAGAACCAAACCGGACCAGTCTGTCTTTATGGACGTTTTCACGTAAGTTGGAAGTCACTAAAAATCATGGAAAAATTTATGAACAAACTAGACTCATTAATCCAACTCCCAGAATTTACGGATTTTGATTTGGATCTTTTATTTAGTTTTTATAAATTTCCTAATAACAGTGATCGAAGCTGTTATAAAAAGAAAAATGCTAACATATTATTGTCACCTTGTATCGTGTTGAGCAAGGTGTATATCCTTATGTGAATGTATGTTATTACAAAAGAATGATATTTTATCTTGGTATATGATCATGCATCAGTTAATAAATGGATTTTGATATAGATATACATATGAAATATAAAGGATAACACGATTGTTATAATCAAAGTACATCCATTTTACTCAAACAATTGAACGAACTACGTTGAATATAGATTACTACGTTACCATTACTACCCTTGTTTTGATAAACTATAATAGGTATTGTTTATGATTCATCACATAACACACTCGTACAAAAAGGGTACATTCATACAAAAAGGTTCTACACACACGCACACTACACGTAAACTTCTTAACTTAAGTGGTGAAACAATCTCTCCCCATACGTCCGAGTATGGGATTCAAATTTCTGTAAGTTATAACCAGAATCTCTTGTAGGGAGAGCATGATAATTGTGTATAGATCTATATTGGGGTTGACATCCCACACCTCGCTGCTAGCTATAACCGGACCGGCAGTTCTGCGGGTGACGAGAGTCATAGGATCAGGACGTCTGAAAGACGTTGTGCAGGTTACCTCTAGTCATAGTATGGTTATAGCGATTCATATAGAGAGTTAACAATAAATAGAGTTTACGGGATTTTTATAAAACAAAAAGGGGTTCGTGTCGATTTAAAAATCATTTTTTATATCAATAAGTACGGATATCACTGTACACTTTCGGTCTTAGTATTTAAGACTACACATCACTCAGGATTTAGAACTACATACACATATTAAAGAAAATATTGGATTTTCTAAATACATATTCTATCGCTTTACAAGAAAAATGGTTTACTTCTCTAAAGAAATCTCTTATGAACTCACCAACCTTCGTGTTGAAACTTTTTCAAACAACTTGTATTCTCAGGGAATCACTAAACAGGTAACCAAGTGCTTTTGAGGATGGGACGTTAAGGCGTCAAACTTTTCATATTTTGTCAACATATTGTAATTGATTTTTGAAACATGTAATTCATACAGTGATGTAACTTCTTCAATTATATATATATATATATATATATATATATATATATATATATATATATATGTTGGTTGTGTTTGTTTAAATCACTATTGCATTTGTTGTCATGATACTATACATGAAGTCCTCCACCTCCGGACATTTCCGCCATCCTTGGTTTGGCGGTGTGACAATATATACCAAACCTACACTATACCTAAATAGAAGAAATAGTTTACTAACACCCCCCTCAATTTGAGCAGGATATTCACGAATGCTTAAACTGTTACAAAAATCTGTAAATAACTGCGTAGGAAGTCCCTTTATAAATATGTTAGCAAACTGGTGTGCAGATGGAACATGCAAAACGCGAACCTAACCAATGGCAACACGTTCCCTAACAAATGTAAATCTATTTCCACATGTTTGGTTCATTGGTGCTGAACTGGATTAGATGCTAAATACATAGCACTCACATTGTCACA